GGGTTAGGGTCAGGGTTAGGGTTAGGGTTAGGGTTAGGGTTAACCCTATCCCAGCTTCCTAGAGAGCCTCGGCTGGATGTCCGACTCCGCCCACATTCAAGTCGGCCATTTTTGTTATATTGATTTATTATTTATTTATTATTTATTTTATGTATATATATATAAAAATATATATATATTATTATGTATTTTATTGTATATTTTTAAATTTATTTATTTATTATATATTATTTATTATATTATTTATTTATTATATATTTTTATTATATTTTATTAGGTCATGTGACTAGCAGCTTTCTGAGGTGGAAAAGAAAGTTTACTGTCTATACGAAATCAGAAGATAAACGATGACCTTACCCTAACCCTAACCCTAACTCTAACCCTAAACCTCACTTTAACCCTATCCCTATCCATAACCCTCACCCTAACCCTAACCTTTATCCTAACCCTGACCCTAACCCTAACCCTGACCCTTCATAATTGTGAGAAATAAATATTTTTTGGTTAAACTTGTTTGGACTTATTGTACAAACCTATTTAACATCCACTATTTTAACATAATATTATGGATAAAGTTTAATTCAGTGTTTGCAAGATTCATTTGGCTATTTTTAAATTAATGTCTATATTGCCATGAAGCAATTAGGATTTTCTTCCCTGGGATCTTCCTATTGGTTACCTAATCAAAATGGCCGACTTGGATGACGGACGTGGAAACAGACACTTTCAGCCGTTTGAAGAAATAAACCGGAAAGGGAAAATTATTCTATAAAAGGAGACATTAAATAAACGTCAGACAGTCGAGCCCCGAAAACCCAGAAACAGAAAATAACTGAACAGCAGGTGAGTTTTCCTTCAATATTAACACAGAAACGACTCTTTAAAGGGTTTATTTTAGCTCTTTTCTGCTGTGGACGACAGTTTTAGTAGTTTTGAATCCAGTTTTTCTGTCAATATTAATCCTGAAGCTCATCTTTAAAGGTCCATTGAAGACTTTTGATGGTTTTTAACCGAGTTTTTCCTTCAATATTAACTGTGAAACAAATCTTTAAAGCTTTTTTGAGCTCTTTTCTCCTGTAGACCACAGTTTTAGTGGTTTTTAAACCCGTTTTTCCTTCAGGATTAATACAGAAATTACTTTTTAATGGTCCATTAAAGCTCTTTGCTGCTGGAGATGAGACTTTTAATAGTTTTTAATTCTCTTTTGCCTTCAGGATTAACTCTGAAACGACTCTTTAAAGGTTTTTTAAGCTCTTTTCTGCTGTAGACGACAGTTTTAGTGGTTTATAACCCAGTTTTTCCTTCAATATTAACTCTGAAACGAATATTCAAAGGTCCATTAAAGCTCTTTGCTGCTGGAGATGAGACTTTTAATGGTTTTTAACCCAGTTTTTCCTTCAATATTAACTCTGAAACGAATATTCAAAGGTCCATTAAAGCTCTTTTCTTCTGGAGATGAGACTTTTAATGGTTTTTAACCCAGTTTTTCCTTCAGGATATGATACAGAAACGACCCTTTAAAGGTCCATTAAATCTCTTTTCTGCTGTAGACGGCAGTTTAAGTTGTTTTTAAACCCGTTTTTCCTTCAATATTAACTCTGAAACTAATCTTTAAAGGTGCATTAAAGTTCTTTTCTGCTGGAGATGAAACTTTTAGTGGTTTTTAACCCAGTTTTTCCTTCAATATTAACTCTGAAACTAAT